GTGAGTGAGAAGGACAAGAGTGGAGGAAGTGGAGAAGAGAACTAAGGAGGGAGAAAAAGAGAAGGAGAGAAAATGGGAAGGCCAAGCACCAAAAAAGAAAAGGAGGGAGAGGGAGAGGAAGAGCAAGGTAGGGAAGGATAGAGGGAAAAGGAGGGCGAAAGAAGGGGGAAAACTGAGAAAGTGGGATGAAAGAAAGAAAAAGGGGGAGGATAAAGGGAGAGGGAGGGAAGAAGGGAAGAAAGAAGGAAAAGAACCAGGGGAAGAGGGAGGGAGAAAGAGGGAGGACGGGAAGAGGGAGAAGGAAGAAAGAGCAGAGGGAGGAAGGGAAGGAAGAAAGGGAGAAAGGGAGGGAGGGAGAAAGGGAGAGAAGAGGAGAGAGAAAGAAGAAGAAAGGAAGAGAAAGACAGAAGGTAGGAGAAGAGAGAGAGAGAGGAAGGAGAAGGTAAGAAAGGGAGGGAGAAGAAGGGAAAGAGGGAGGGAAAGAGGGAGTGAAAAAGAGGGGGAGGGGGAGAGGGAGGGAGAGAGGGAAAGAGGAGGAAGGTGGAAAGTGAAGGGGGAGAAAGGGAGCGAGAAGAGGGGGAGGGAGAGAGAAAGCAAGGAGAGAGGGAGAGAAGAAGGGAGAAAGAGACAGGAAAGGAGGAAATTAAGGCAAATCCAAGGAAGAAAGGGAGGGAGACAGAGGGGGGAGGGAAAGAGGAAGAAAGAGGGAGAGGGAGGAAGAGAGAAAGGAAGAGGAGAAAGGAAGGGAGTAGAAGGGCAGGGAGAAAACGAGGGAGAGTAGGGAAGGAGGGAGGAAGAGGGGAAGAAAGGGAGAGGAAGAGAGAGGGAAGGAGAAAGAGAGCGGAAGAGAGGAAGGCAGACAAAGAGCCTGGGGAAAGAGAGAGGGAGAAGGAGGGGAAGAAGAAGAGAGAGAGGGATAAAGGGGTGAAGAAGGGAAGGTAAAGGGCCAGTGGAGAGAGGGAGGGAGAGGAGAGGAAGGAGGTAGTGGGAGGAAGCGGGAAAGGGAAAGAGAAAGGGAGAGGGAGAGAAGGAGGGAGAAAGAGTGGGGAGGAAAGCTAGAGAAAGAGAGAGGAAATGAGGAAGGAAGAAGGGGGAAAGAGGGGGAAAGGATGAAGGTGAAAGGGAGAGTGAAGGAGGGAGACGTAGGGGAGAAACGTGGAAGGCAAAGAGCCAGGTGAGAGAGGGAGGGAGAGAGGAGGAAGGAAGGAGTGGGAGGAAGGAGGAAAGGGAAGGAAAAAGGGAGAGGGAAGGAAGGAGTGAGGAAGAAGGGGGGGGGAAAGAGGAATACAAAAGCTAGGGGAGAGAGGGAGAGACAGGGGTGGAAGGAGGAAGTAGAGGCAGGGGGAGATGGGAGAGGGAGAGGAGACGGGAGAGAGAAAGCGATGGTAAAGGAGGAAGGCAAAGAGCCAGGGGAGACAGGGAGGGAGAGGGGAGGAAGGAGGAAAGGGAAGGAAAAGGGGAGAGGGAAGGAAGAAGTGAGGGGGAAAGGGGGGGAGGAAGGCAAAAGCTAGGGGAGGGAGGGAGAGGGGAGGAAGGAGGGAGTGGAGGCAGGGGGAAAGGGAGAGGGAGGGGAGACGGGAGGGAGGGAGGGAGGGAGGGAGAAAGCGTTGGGAAAGGAGGAAGACAAAGAGCCAGGGGAGACAGGGAGGGAGAGAGGAGAAAAGAGGGAGTAAGAAGAAGGGGGAAGGGGAAGGAGAAAGGGAGGGAAGGAAGGAGGGGGAAAGGAGGAAGGCAAATGGCCTGAGGCGAGAGGGAGGAAGTGGGGAGGAAGGAGGAAAGGGAAGACGAAGGGAGAGGAGGAAGGGAAGACATGAAGGGAAAGGAGAAAGGCAAAGAGCCAGGGGGGAGGAGAAGGAGGGAGAGAAGGAGGAAGGAGGGAGTGGGAGGAAGGAGGAAAGGGAAGGAGAAGGGGAGAGGGAGGGAAGAAAGGAGGGAGGGAGAAAAAAGGGAAAAGGAGAAAGGAAAGAGCCAGGTGAGAGAGGGGGGGGGGAGAAGAGGAAGTGGGAAGGAGAAAGAGAGTTGGAGGGAAGGAAGGAGGGGGAAAGAGGGGGAAAGGAGGAAGGCAAAGAGCCAGGCGAGAGAGGGATGAAGAGAGGAGGAAGAAGGGGGGAGGAAAGGGAAGGTATAGGGGAGAGGGAGGGAGGGGGAAAGAGGGAGTAAAGGAGGAAGGCAAAGAACCAGGGGAGAGAGGGAGAGAATAGGAAGGAGGTAGTAGGAGGAAGCGGGAATAGGAAGGAGAAATGGAGAGGGAGGGAGGGTGAAAGAGAGGGGAAAGGAGGAAGGCAAAGAGCCGGGGAGAGGGAGAGGGAAAGTGGAGGAAGGAGGAAAAGGAAGAAGAAAGGGAGAGGTAGAGAAGAAAGGAAGGAGGGATATAGAGGGGGAAAGGAGGAAGGCAGAGAGCCAGGGGAGAGAGGGAGGGAGAGGAGAGGAAGGAGGGAGTGGGAAGTAGAAATGGAGAGGGAGGGAAGGAAGGAGGGGGAAAGAGGGGGAAAGGAGGAAGGCAAAGAGACAGGGGAGAGAGGGAGGAGAGAGGAGGGGAGGAGGGGAGGAAGGGAAAGGGAAGGAAAGGGAGAGGGAGGAGGAGGGGGGAGGAGGAAAGAAGGACAAGGGAAGAAAGGGAGAGAATAGGAAGAGGTGGTAGGAGGAAGGTGAAAAGGGAAGGAGAAGGGAAGGGAGGGAGAAAGAGAGGGAAAGGAGGAAGGCAAAGAGCCAGGGAGAGAGGGAAGGAGAGAGGAAGAAAGAGGGAGTGAGAGGAAGGAGGAAAGGAAAGAAGAAAGGGAGAGGGACAGAAAAAGGGAAGGAGGGGAAAGAGGGGGAAAGGAGGAAGGCAGAGAGCCAGGGGAGAGAGGGAGGGAGAGGGGAGGAAGGAGGAAGTGGAGGCAGGGGGAAAGGGAAGGAGAGGGGAGAGGGAGGGAGGGGGAAAGAGGGGGAAAGGAGGAAGGCAAAAGAAGGGGAGAGAATATGTATGAAGGAGTGGAGGAGATATAAAAGTGAAGGAGAAAGGGGGAGGGGAGAGGGAGAAAAAGGGGCAAAGGGAAGGAGAAAGCAGGAGAGAGGGAAGAGAGAGAAGGAAGGAGGGAGGGGAGGAAGCAGGAAAGAAAGGAGAAAGGGAGAGGGAGTGAAGGAGAAAGAAGGAGGGAAGAGAGGGAGGAAGGAGGAAGGAAAAGAGCCAGGGGAGAAAGGGAGGGAGGACGGAGGAGGGAATGAAAAGAACGAGGAAAGGGAAGGAGAAGGGGAGAGGGAGGGAGGGGGAAAGAGGGAGTAAAGGAGGAAGGCAAAGGACCAGGGAAGAGAGGGAGGAATAGGAAGGTGGTAGGAGGAAGGGAGAAAGGGAGAGGGAGGGGAAAAGAGAGGGGAAAGGAGGAAGGCAAAGAGCCGGGGAGAGAGGGAGAGAGAGGAGGAAGGAGGGAGTGGGAGGAAGCGGGAAAGAGAAAGGGAGAGGGAGTGAAGGAAGGAGGGGGAAAGAGGGAGGAAGGAGGAAGGAAAAGAGCCAGGGGAGAAAGGGAGGGAGGACGGAGGAGGGAATGAAAAGAACGAGGAAAGGGAAGGAGAAGGGGAGAGGGAGGGAGGGGGAAAGAGGGAGTAAAGGAGGAAGGCAAAGGACCAGGGAAGAGAGGGAGAGAATAGGAAGGAAGTGGTAGGAGGAAGGGGAAAGGGAATGAGAAAGGGAGAGGGAGGGAAAAAGAGAGGGGAAAGGAGGAAGGCAAAGAGCCGGGGAGAGAGGGAGGGAGAGAGGAAGAAGGAGGGAGGAGAGGAACGAGGAAAGGGAAGAAGAAAGGGAGAGGGACGGAAGGAAGGGAAAGAGGGGGAAAGGAGGAAGGCAGAGAGCCAGAGGAGAGAGGGAGGGAGAGGGGAAGAAGGAAAAGAACGAGGAAAGGGAAGGAGAAGGGGAGAGGGAGGGAGGGGGAAAGAGGGAGTAAAGGAGGAAGCAAAGGACCAGGGAAGAGAGGGAGAGAATAGGAAGGTGGTAGGAGGAAGGGAGAAAGGGAGAGGGAGGGGAAAAGAGAGGGGAAAGGAGGAAGGCAAAGAGCCGGGGAGAGAGGGAGGGAGAGAGGAGGAAGTGAGAGGAAGGAGGAAAGGGAGAGGGAGAGAAGGAGGGAGGGAGAAAAAGCGGGAAAAGGAGAAAGGCAAAGAGCTAGGGGAGAGAGGGAGGGAGAGGAGAGGCAGGAGGGAGTGGGTTAGGGTTAGGGTGGGAGGAATCAGGAAAGGGGGAGAGAAAGGGAGAGGGAGGGAAGGAGGGAGTGAGAGGGGGAAAGGAGGAAGGCAACGAGTCGGGGAGAGAGGGAGGGAGAGAGGAGGAAGGAGGGAGTAAGAGGAAGGAGGAAAGGGAAAGAGAAAGGGAGAGGGAGAGAAGGAGGGGGGAGGAGGGGGAAGGAGGAAGGCAAAGAGCCGGGGGGGGGGGAGAGGGAGGGAGGGGAGGAGGTGGTGAGCGGGAGGAAGGAGGAAAGGGAAGGCGGAAGGGAGAGGGAGGGAGAAAAAGTGGGAAAAGGAGAAACCCAAAGAGCCAGGGGAGAGAGGGAGAGAGAGGAGAGGAAGGAGGGAGTGGATTAGGGTTAGGGTGGGAGGAAGCAGGAAAGGGAAAGAGAAAGGGAGAGGGAGGGAAGGCGGGAGAAAGGAGGAAGGCAAAGAGCCGGGGGGGGGGGAAGAGGGAGGGAGGGGGAGGAAGGTGTGAGCGGGAGGAAGGAGCAAAGGGAAGGCGGAAGGGAGAGGGAGGGAAGGAGGGAGAAAGAAGAGGGAAAGGAGGAAGGCAGAGAGCCAGGGGGGAGGGAGGGAGAGGGAGGGGGGAGTGAGCGAGCGCGAGCCCCCTCCCCGCGTGTCCCTTTCCCTTTCCCTTTCGGCGTGTGGAGGGGGCGTGTCCGCGCCCTCGTGACGTCACGGGAGGCCGAGCCCAGCCCGGCTCAGCTCAGCTCGGAGAAGCGACGGAGGAGCGAAGCGGAGCAGTGTGGCCGTGGGTGTTGCGGCGGGGATGGCGCGGGGCTGAGCCGGCGGCGGCGGCGGAGATGGAGCTGCACCTGGAGGCGCTGGGCGGCGGCGGGGCCGGCGGCGGGTCCGAGCTGCTGGTCCCCTCGGGCTCCCACGGGCGTCCCGAGGCGGCCCCTCCTCCCCCTGCTCCCCCTCCGCGCTCCCGGCCGGCCATGGTCTCGAGCCTGGCCTCGCTGATGGAGGGGGCGCCCGGCGGGGGAGACTTCCGCGGGGGAGACCCCGGAGGCGCGCTGCACCCGGTGATGGGCCTGCCTTGCGAGTCGCCCTCGGGGATGAGCACCTACACCACGCTCACGCCGCTCCAGCACCTGCCGCCCATCGCCACCGTCTCGGAGAAGTTCCACCACCACCACCACCACCCGCACCACCACCACCACCACCACCCGCACCACCACCACCACCACCCGCACCACCAGCGCCACTCGGGCAACTTCTCCTCCATGGGCAACTTGTACTACCCGAAGGAGATGGCCGGGCCCATGGGGCAGCCCTTGTCCCCGCTGCCCAACGGCCTGGGCGCGCTCCACCACGGCGGGCAGCAGCAGCAGCAGGCGCTGAGCCACTACGGCGCCCACCTGGGGCCCTCCGAGAAGCTCTTCCCGCCGCCGCCGCCCCCGCCGCCCCCGCACGGCTTCGAGGGCCCCTCGGGCCTCCTGCCCGCCCTCAACGGGCTCCACGACCCGCGGCCCCAGGCCTCCGTGGCCTCCTCCTCCGCCGCCGCCGCCGCCGGGGCCGCGCCAGGCCAGCAAGCCGAGGAGATCAACACCAAGGAGGTGGCGCAGCGCATCACCGCCGAGCTCAAGCGCTACAGCATCCCGCAGGCCATCTTCGCCCAGCGCATCCTCTGCCGCTCGCAAGGCACCCTCTCCGACCTGCTGAGGAACCCCAAGCCCTGGAGCAAGCTCAAGTCCGGGAGGGAGACCTTCCGCAGGATGTGGAAGTGGCTGCAGGAGCCCGAATTCCAGAGGATGTCCGCCCTCCGCCTCGCAGGTAGGCCACGGGAGCCCCAGGAAGGCAGGGAAGGGAGGGAGGCCGCCCCGAGGGTCGGAGAGACGCTCTCTGGGTTGGAGAGGCAACCAAGGAAGGCCCACACTCACCTCGCCTCTCTTCCCCCCTGTTGACACCAAAGAAGGACCTCCAGAATCCAAGAAAAGGATTGCGACCAGGGCTGGAGGCATCTAAGAGGGTTAGAGAGACTCCTTCTAGGTTGAAGAGGATAGGAAGAAAGTCCCACACTCCTCTCGCCTCTCTTCCCCGCTGTTGACATGAAAGAAGGACCTCCAGAATCCAAGTAAAGGGTTGCAACCAGGGCTGGAGGCATCTAAGAGGGTTAGAGAGACTCCTTCTGGGTTGAAGAGGATAGGAAGGAAGTCCTACACCCACCTCACCTCTCTTCCCACCTGTTGACATGAAAGAAGGACCTCCAGAATCCAAGGAAAGAATTGCAACCAGGGGTGGAGGCATCTAAGAGGGTTAGAGAGACTCCTTCTGGGTTGAAGAGGATAGGAAGGAAGTCCCACACTCCTCTCGCCTCTCTTCCCCCTGTTGACATGAAAGAAGGACCTCCAGAATCCAAGTAAAGGGTTGCAACCAGGGCTGGAGGCATCTAAGAGGGTTAGAGAGACTCCTTCTAGGTTGAAGAGGATAGGAAGGAAGTCCCACATTCACTTCACCTCTCTTCCCCCTGTTGACATGAAAGAAGGACCTCCAGAATCCAAGGAAAGAATTGCAACCAGGGGTGGAGGCATCTAAGAGGGTTAGAGAGACTACTTCTGGGTTGAAGAGGATAGGAAGGAAGTCCCACACTCACCTGGCCTCTCTTCCCCTCATTAACACGAAAGAAGGGCCTCCAGAATCCAAGAAAAGTGTTGCAACCAGGGGTGAAGGCATCTTAAAGGGTTAGAGAGATTCCTTCTGGATTGAAGAGGATAGGAAGGAAGTCCCACACTCACCTCACCTCTTCTCCCGCCCCTGTTGACATGAAAGAAGGACCTCCAAAAGAAGGTTAGAGAGAATCTTTCCAGGATACAGGAGGGTAGGGAGGAAGACTTGAGCTCCCCGCTCCTCCATTGCCTCCCTCTTGGTCTTCAAAAGCCCAGGGAACAGTTGCAACAGGGCTGGAGGCATCTAAGAGGTTCAGACAGACTCTTTCCTGTATTGAGGAGGGTAGGGAGGAAGTCCCACACTCATCTTGCCTCTCTTCCCCCATCCCCTGTTGACATGAAATAAGGACCTCCAAAATCCAAGGAAAGGGTTGGAGGCATCTAAGAAGATTAGGGAGACTCATTCCTGGATTCAGGAGGCCAGGGAGGAAGCCCTGAGCTCCCCGCTCCTCCATTGCCTCCCTCTTGGTCTTCAAAAGCCCAGGGAACAGTTGTAACCAGGGCTGGAGGCATCTAAAAGATTCAGACAGACTCTTTCATGTATTGAGGAGGGTAGGGAGGAGGTCCCAAATTCATCTTGCCTCTCTTTCCCTGTCCCCTGTTGACATGAAAAAAGAACTTCCAAAACCCAAGGAAAAGGTTGGAACTAGGGCTGGAGGCATCTAAGAGGGTCGGAGAGAGTCTTTCTTGTATTGAGGAGGGTAAGGAGGAAGTCCCATACTCACCTTACCTTCTTTCCCCCGTCCCCTGTTAACATGAAAGAAGGACCTCCAAAATGCAAGGAAAGGGTTGGAGGCATCTAAAAGGGTTAGAGAGACTCTTTCTTGGATTCAAGAGAGTAGGGAGGAAGCCCTGAGCTCCCTGCTCCTCCATTGCCTCCCTCTTGGTCTTCAAAAGCCCAGGGAAGGGTTGCAACCAGGGTTGGAGGCATTGCAGAGGGTTAGAGAGGCTCCTTCAGGGTAGAAGAGGATAGGAAGGAAGTCCCACACTCACCTCACCTATCTTCCCCCCTTGTTTACATGAAAGAAGGACCTCCAAAGTCCAAGGAAAGGGTTTGAACCAGGGCTGGAGGCATCTAAGAGGGTTAGAGAGACTCCTTCTGGGTTGAAGAGGATAGGAAGCAAGTCCCACAATCACCTGCCCTCCTTCCTCTGGACATACCAAGAGGACCTCCAAAATCCAATGAAAGGGTTGCAATCAGGGCTTGAGACATCTAAGAGGGTTAGAGAGACTCCTTCTGAGTTGAAGAGGATAGGAAGGAAGTCCCACGCTCACCTCATCTCCATTCCCTCCTCTTGACATGAGAGGAATACCTCAGAAACTCAAGGAAAGGGTTGCAACTAGGGCTGGAGACATTTAAGAGAGTTAGAGAGACTCCTTCTGGGTTGAAGAGGATAGGAAGGAAGTCTCTCACTCACCTGCCCTCCCTTCCCTCCTTTTGATATGAGAGGAAGATCCTGAAACTCAAGGAAATGGTTGCAACCAGGGCTGGAGATGTTGAAGAGAGTTAGGTAGAGGCTTTCTAGACTGACTGGGGTAAATGGGAAACTCCATCCTCACCTAGCCTCTCTTCCCTCCTCTGGACACACCAAGAAGACCAAGGAAAGGGTTGCAACCAGGGCTGGAGACATAGAAGTCAGTTTGAGAGGGCTAACCAGAGGCAGAGAGACTCTTTCTGGGTTGAAGAGGATAGGAAGGAAATCCCATACTCACCTAGCCTCCATTCCCTTCTCTGGACATGAGAAGAGGACCTCCAAATCCGAAAGAAAGGGTTGCAACCAGGGCTGGAGAATAGAAGAGGGTTGGAGAGGTCTATCCAGGGTTAGAGGGACACTCTCTGGGTCGAAGACAGAAAGGAAGCCTCCCCTTCACTTGGCCTCCATTCCCTCCTCTTGACATGAGAGGAGGACCTCCAAAACCTGAGGAAAGGGTTGCAACCAGGAGAAGTCTATGCAGGATTAGGGGGATCCTCTGAGTTGAAGAGGAAACAAAGGAAGCTACTCCCCCGCCCCGGACCCATCAGGAGGGCCTCCAAAACTTGAGGAAAGGGTTGTAACCAAGGTTAGAGGCACCTAAGAGGGTTAGAGAGGCACTTTCCTGGGTTGAGGAGGGTAAGGAGGAGTCCTAAGCTCCCCTACTCCTCCATTTCTCCACTCTTTATCTCCAAAACCTCAGGGAAGGGTTGCAACCAGGGCTAGAGATATGCTTTCTGGGTTGAAGAGAACAGGAAAGAAGTCCCACACTCATTTAGCCTCCCTTCTTCCTTCTTGGCCTCCTGGCCTCCATTCCCTCCTCTTGACATACCAGGAGGACCTCTAAAACCCCCAAGGAAGGGTTGCAACCAGGGTTGGGGATGTTTAAGAGAGTTAGAGAGGACTATCCAGGATCAGAGAGACTTTCTCTCTGAGTTCAAGAGGAAACAGAGAAAGTCCCATTCTCACCTGGCCTCCCTTCCCCCCTGTTGTCATGAGAGGAGGACCTCCAAAACCCGAGGTTGCAACCAGGGTTAGGGAGATGCTTTCTGGGTTGAAGAGGAAACAAAAGAAGCCCCTTTCTCAGCTAGATGCCACCCCCTCCCCCCTCCACTTGTTGATATGAGAGGAGAACCTCCAGAATCCAAGTAGAGGGTGGCAACCAGGACTAGAGAAATCAAAGCAGGGATGGAGGGACTACTTATGGGTTGAAAAGGAAACAAAAGAGGCCCAAACTCATCTGGCCACCATTACCTCCTCTGGAGCCAGGAGGAGGGGCTCCAGAACTCAAGGAAAGGTTGCAACCAGGGCTAAAGATTTTGAGGGTTAGAGAGTGGCTTCCTGTACCAAATAGGACAGGGAGAAAGTTCCACCTTCACCTGACCTCCCCTGTTGACATGAGAGGAGAACCTCTGAAACCCGAGGAAAGGTTGCAACCAGAGCTGGAGACCTTGAGGCAGGGTTAGAGGGGTCTATCCAGGGTTAGAGACTCCTTCTGGATTGAAGAGGACAGGAAGGAAGCCCCACACTCACCTGGCCTCTGTTCCCCCTTGTTGACACACCAGGGGGACCTCCAAAACCCCAAGGAAGGGTTGCAACCAGGGTTGGAGACAACAAAGAGGGTTAGAGAGATGGATTCCCAGACTGAATGGGTAAGGGAAGTCCCACTCTCACCTGGCCTCCCTTCCAATCTGTTGACATGAGAGGAGGACCTATGAAACCTGAGGAAAATATTGCCACCAAGATCGGAGAGGTCTATTCCAGGTTAAAGAGACTCTCTTTTGGTTGAAGAGGACAGGAAGGAAGCCTCACACTCACCTGGCCTCCATTCCCTCCTCTGGACACACTTGCAGGACCTCTGAAACCCCAAGGAAGGGTCGCAACCAGAGCCGGAGAACATCAAAAAGGGTTAGAGAGGTCTAACTAGGGTTAGAAAGAATAGGAAGGAAGCCCCATCCTCACCTGGCCTCATATTCTCCCTTCTTGACCCAAGAGGATGGCCTCCGAAACCCAAGGGAAAGATTGCAGCCAAGGTTGGAGACATCTAAGAGGGTTAGAGAGACTCTTTCTGTTTCTATCTAGCTATCCATTCATCTGTTGTATCTTTCATGGGATGATGATGACCATTTCACCACACATCTCTCTCTCTCTTTCTACTTATCTATTTACCTATCTACCTACCTATCTGCCTCTATCTCTTATTTACATAGCTTTTACTCTGTCTACCTGTTTTGCTTGCTTGTTTTTGCTGTATGTCTTCTAGCTTTCCTTCCAGGTGTATTTCATTTTACTACAAGAAGTATCTCTCTATTCATTTTTCTCTCCCAGTGGTTCCCAACCTTATTTTGACCAGTGACCACTTTGACCAGGGACCACTCTCCAACACTAGTACCAAAAGAGTTACGAATCCATTTTTGGTCAACTTTAGATTTGGTTTGTTTATTTGTGGTGCAGATTCACACATTTGCATTGGATAGACCACATCAGCTCTAGTTTCTGATACAGAACATATGCCACCAAGTAGTCACCATCTGCTCACCCACAGAAAACCATATTTAATAAGGGCACCATAAGAGGGTTTCGAGAGACCAGTCGCTCTAGTTGCAATAGTGTAATAATGGTGAGGCTGCCAACC